GTTTCACAAGACGAAAGAGTTTTCTACCGTTCAAAGAGGGTCATTAATATTCTTACCGTGTCCTTTCTAATTCGTCTAACTTGTTCTTGATACATCCATGACTCGTTAATATGCCTGGGCCCTAAGATATCTGGGGCGCTTAAACAATTTTGCACTTATTTGTATGGATAATTAATCCCATCCTTAATTAAGTCATCTAAAAGGTAAATTCGTAGAGGGTATGTAAATATCTTAATTCCAGCGCCAACTATGTTTTGGGTAATTTTTTTTGCAGAAGCAGTTCCTATCATAAATACGGATTCTCTGAATACCTTGACTCCAGTGCCAAATGTCAAAGTCATGTGACTTTCGATTTCGAAGTTATAGCTGATGAAAAATATCACGCCTAAGGGATGTACCACTCCCCTTTTGTAAACATATCTTTAGAAACCTTACATCTAACATATGTAGATAAGCCTCCACACCAAATTTTTTAAAGTCATGTGACTTACGGTTTCGAAGTTGCACCTCCTTCAAACTCGAACTTTGACAAAAATTGAATGGACTATAAAATTGTATACTCAAATAAAATCTACCACCACAGAGAAAAAAGTTTGAAATTTAGGTCAAAATTTGTTGCATTTGTTTGTAGTTTTCTACAAAGTTTTAAACTTGGGTATATATGCGTTTTGTAAGAGAATGAACTGAATTTTAATTGAAAATCCTTAAAAATAAATATATAAACATAAGTCACAACCAATATCACTTTCAAATATAGTGCTATAGATATGACCGATACCGTATATATGTACATACATATGTATGCACATTAGACCGTACCGTAAAGAATTTTTGTAGGGCAATTTCGAAAAAAAAAATGTTTGCCGACTCTAGAGGTCGTCTTTTACATTTTTCGGCGAAGCCTACATTCGACAATAATTTTTTTTTTATTTTAATGGTTCTACTGCAATAATCGAAATACTTTCTTAGCAAATGTTTAAATGGTAAATGGGCCAGCTTTAATTTACTGACATTTGGGGAGGTAGGAACAGAGCTCTGGTGGGTAAGTACTAGAACGGGTTACTTGAGATCGCGGAATTTTGGAACAAAAAAAATTTTCCTCTAAGAACATTGAATATCATACTTTAAGATCCGACTGTAAATGCCAAAGATTTGACTAAAAATGTAAAAAAAAACTAGCCCCGCGTTCAGCAAAAAAAAAAAGAAATCATTTTCGAAATCGCCTTGCACAAATATATACTTTGGATTCAGGGGTGTACAGGAAACTTTTTTTCCGGTACGATCTGATGTACATACTAACAAAACTAAACAAACCAGTTGCACGAGTAGTAGTTAAATAAGGGGCACATAAATTTAAATAAATTAACTAAGTAAATTCGTTGATCAAATACGCCTTGCCGTTGAAATTGTTCTACTTAAATTGGCTGCTGCAGTTAAATCTTACCTACGAGTGGCATGCATATGTACAGATTTATGTATATATATACAGACAAATGTACATAAATACACATGTGCTCTTACAAAGCAATGAAACAGCTATAAAATATAGACACAACGGTAACCCAGTGTAGAAAATATATGTCGTGAAGGAGATCAATACAAATAGGTAAGAATATATATACTAAAATCCAGAATCTTTGCCCACGGAAATCGTCTGATAAAAACTATGTTACTAAAGTTACATCGTTAATTCTCTCTGTGTAGCTAATATTTCTAAGCCATCACAATAAGCTCCAAAACTACTTCAATCAATTTCTAAGGGCCGATTTTTCAATGCCCGGTTAACACAAATCGGAGGTAGATAAATAGATATGGGGGTTAGTGATAGCCAGGCATTGAACAACCGGCCCTTAGTTTGCATAGGTTAGATAAGGTTAGATTTATGGAGTTGTTAAAGATGATACCAGCACGCCTTTGCTCGTAATTTAAACCAGTGGTTTGGATTTGGTAATAACATTTGTGCAATAACGGTGATAAGCGGAGTGATACGAGGATCGGACACTCCAGAATTATGAAAGATCTCCTGCGAACTACAAGTGCTTATTATTTCCACACAAGCATCTCGCCCAGGAGCAATAAAGAAGAGCACCAAGTCTTGAACCTTTAACCTAATTCCGTGGCTGTATATATACACCGATTACTACAAATAAGACTTCAAGATAAGAGGTCTAATCCACACTTCCGCCTGGAGTGGCCACTGTTTCGCCATGTAACCGGAGATATAAGAAGCCACCGCTTGATGGGAACCCACGGCAACAGAATGGGTCTACAGTCGAATGGTTTCTGTCGGGAGTATAGAACATTCGGGCATGTGCTGCAAATTGTACGATTTAAAATCGGTGCAATTTCTAAAATCTACTTTGGAGATTTCTTAACAAAAAAGAAAAATTTGGCACTGAATCGATAAATATGTCGATAAAGCTTTTTAAGGTTACATTGTATAAGAAGTGTGCGTAAAAATAAACCGATTACGGCTCTTTTAACGCTGACGACACACAATCAGTTTTGGCTTTCAATTTTCTCACACACATTGCTTGTCAAAAACCATGAAAAATTTAAAGCCATTACGTAGGCTGCAATCAATTTGAGAAGCAATTTCATTATCAACATGTCGGCTTCAAGAAAACAATGTAACTAACCAGCTTCTGAAGAATATTTTCCATTTTAATTCCGTTGTAGATTAACATTTTAACATGCATAAGCTTAGTATTTTTTTATTTTCACAAAATTCGCATACCAATGCTGAAAAGCTGATCAAAATTGAAAGCAAAATTGAAACTCAATTGAAAGGGAAAAATTGAAGCAAGTTGCCCATTCAAGCAATAAATAAGAGTGTGTGAGTATTGAAAATTGAAAGGGGAAAATTTAATGTGTAACGGCCCGGTAAGGGTGTTTACTTATATTATTATTAAAAATATATGGACAAAATTTCGGAGTCGTGCATTCATCGGTGCGCTTTTTTAAGCGTTTTATACTATGTCTCCATTGAGAGATTTATCCATTAAGATTTAATAAATCCAGTTGCTAAATCACAACCGTCTCCATTACCATTACGAGATATGTTTGACGTTCACATTTTTAAATATTTGACTTTTGCTTACGTATGATTTTACAAATACAGTTGCGGACATTGATATACAGACAGATAAAAGGAAGGTACCAAGCGCAATTTCATTATATGAATTCTGAATATTATTGGCTTCTTATTCGTGGTAAATATGTATGTATAATATATAGTTTGCAAAGTGTAAAGAATGGTACCATATTCCGAATCATTTTCCCGAATTTAAGAAAAATTATCAAAACGGTAAAAAACATTTGCGGAAAGAAAAATTTTTGTAGAACTCTCTTATTCATAGGAGGGAACCGAAAATCCAATCGTGGGCCTTTGGCATATCATGAATACGAACTGAGTTCTAGAGGATGTTCCGTGCAATGTTATCGAAGCAGAACCATTACCGAAATTTATAAATTTTTTGCAGCAGCGCGTAAATGACTTATAGAAAGCGGAGAAGACTCTGCATGATATTACTATAAAACATTTCTTCTAAATTTTTAGTTTTTAAAATAATATTTTCTTAATTTATTACAACCAAAGTTATGTAAATATTTATTACTAATTTTCCTCCCAAACTAACAAAAAAATATAAAAATCCCTAAAAATACGAAAATTCATGTTTTTATGATAGGCTAGATTTCAATGTCCTCAACTGTATATTGAAAACACAAATGTCATTTGACTTATGGCATGTGAATTTGTGGTTGCCACATCCAACAAATTGTACTTATTGATCAATATTATTGAAGATTTGACGAAGATTTAACTTAAATCTACTGCCTTTCGAGATTTAATTTTATATGATAAATCTCAAAATATTTAACGTCAAATCTCGTCAGAGGGCTAAATCTTCATTAAATCTCAAAATGGAGACATAGTATTAGAGGCATTTTTAAGCGTTTTAGAGGTTAGGTAAGTATGGGAGGTACACGTTAAAGTAAATCGATTTTGCTAATTGTTTCTATTATTATTATTTTATTTATTATTATTTCTATTATTGTAAATATATGGACGAAATTTCGAAGTCGTACATTCATCGATGCTCTTTGAATGGCATTTTAATGCGTTTTTGAGGTTAGGTTTGTATGGGAGGTTTGCTTTTAAATAAACCGGTTACACCCACTTTTAGTTTTTTTCCTTGATTTATGTCCTTAAAGGTTACATACGATAAATTTAAGTCCTACGCCTCCGCCTTCTACTTTTCTTCAAAAAATTAATGTGGCTGAACCACTGTGCGGCGGTTTTAAACCGCTTAACAGGATAAAGTTCGAGTTCCTACACATACCAAAACGCACCAATAAAAATTTCAATGCGAAGGCTTTGGAAGCTATCGAGGGAACAACTCTACGCAAGATCTATAGCTCTGTTCGCGTGGTCGACACGTGCCGTAGAAGATATGTAGAACGACAAACTGGACGAGCTTTTTAATGACATGGTCATAGGGAAACGCATAAAACTACAGCGGGTGCGCTCGCTTAAATATGCCTCACGCATTGATAATGCTGTTCAGATGAAGAGCTCCTTCGAGTTGGCACGAAAGTAAGGCTACCCAGGCACACAATGGAAGGACTTCGTACAGGAAGACCGTCTAAATACATTTGGCATAAAAAACTGACTTAATTGCGAGAAGCAATTGGCAAAGTTTTTCGTTCTTATTCTAACCCGACAAACGGTTGCAATGGCAAATATTTAGTAAAAATGAGAAGAAATTTGATTGATGATACCAGCATGCAGAAAATATTTCATTTTGTCTTCCTTGCCCAGTAATAAAGTCACTCCATCAATTCTCTTTTCTACTTTGCCTTTCTCACGAATTCACCGTACTGTATGTACCCACGACATAACTGGTCATCAACTGCTTACTTAGCATCTAAAAACGCACAAGTCAGCTTACTGCATAGCTAATCAAATTTCCAATAAGGTTAACAACAATGACAAAATTGCATGTAAATTAGGTGTAAATGCGTTTAAGCGTTGAAACAACGCTGGAAACTAAATTCATTCAGTGTATCGTAAACTGTCGGTGTTGGTCGCTGCTATATCACTCAAGCGAGCATGGCTACAAAAACAAAGTGGGAGTCCAATGAGGAGATACAATATTTTCGGGAGTATCTTCGAATTCCTAGCGTACATCCAGATCCGGATTATGGTGGGTTCACAATATCACATTAGGCAACTAAATTCGCTGTAATACGCTTTGGTTTTACGACATGTACATACATACATACATATTTGCAGAGCCGTGTGTAGAGTTTTTAAAACGACAAGCCAAATTACTCGAACTTCCTATACAAGTACACTATCCAGCCAATGATCGTAATCCAGCTGTGATTCTTACATGGCAAGGCAAGGACACTTCATTACCTGCCATACTTTTGCATTCGCATATGGATGTAGTGCCGGTATTTCCAGAAAATTGGACTCATCCCCCATTTGGTGCTGAAATGGATGATGAAGGACGAATTTTTGCACGCGGCACTCAAGATATGAAATGTGTTGGAATGCAATATCTGGGGGCAATTCGTGCACTGAAGAGGAGCGGGGCAAAATTTAAACGTACAATTCACATATCGTTTATCGCAGGTACGATTAGAATAGCTAAAGAAAACATGTTGTAATAAATGTATATATGTATCTATGTACATTAGACCGTACCATCTTACAAACAAACAAAAATTTGGAAGAAAATATTGGTCGGTGACTGACTACTGGACAAAATACTTCCTTAGCAAAAGTTTCACGATCTTTGGTGAGCTTTAAATTACTGACATTAGAGTGGTACGTTAGTGTGATAAGAACTGAGATCTTGTGTATAAATACTAGAACGAAGCATTTGAGGTCAATGAACATTCGAACAAAAAAATTGTCTTCTCGAAACAAAAAGATCGATAGATATATAATACTTTAAGATCCAATTGTAAATGCGGAGGATATGACGATATGAAAATGCAAAAAGGCGACCCCGCGTTCGGTAAAAATATATCGAATTTGCCTTCGAGTCGAAATTCTACCTCAACAAAAGTTTCATAATTTTTGGTGAGTTTTAATTTACTGATATTAGGGTGGTTTCTTAGGTTGGTTGGGACTGAGGTCTGGTAGTTAAGTACTAGAACGGAGTTCCTGAGGTCAATGAACTTTGGAACAAAAAAAGTTCGTCCTCGAAATAGGAATATCGACTTTCCATACTTTAAGATCAGACTTTAAATGCTGAGGAAAAATGTAAAAAGGCATGCCCTAGGTACGGCAAAAAAACTGTTTTTTTTTTCTTTTGAAATTGCCTTGCAAAAGTACTTTAAA